TATATGGATACTATTCACTTTTGGGAATCCTTTCATCAAGGGGTTCTTACAAAATTCGATTTCAATGTTCTTCGGAAATCTAATTTTCATCCAATTTCTTGGGTCTTCTTTCTAACTAGATTTTTTAATCTTAATTAGATTATCAGTGATGATTATGTCTGGTTTTGTGTGGATTGATGTATTGCTTTAGTATTTGACCTAATTCCTTAGAAAGGCCCATGAATACTCCTCTTTCCCTAACACTAACTTTTGAATTAGGTTTGTTTATGATTACGGGAGATATAATTGAATATGTTCTTGTATAATTTACTATTATATGATCATGATTATTAAATTGTTGGGTGATTATCATGTATTTGGGGGTGATGTCTTGGATGTATTTCTTGAAGGCCATCGGTAAGACTTTCAAGGTCATGAACACGTTATTGTAATAATGTTAGTCTATTCTTGGTAATGTTGTTCAATTGAAGTATGAATGATGAAGTTATGAATGTGTGAATATGTAATGAACATGATGGGTGTGATATGATGATTGGTGTATTATTAAGAGGGATTGGAGATGATTCCCATGCACATCGTATTACTATGTTTTGATGTAATGTTCTCACAGGGTAGTGATGAAAGGAATTTATCATCCTTGAGCCTAGGATCTATAAACATCTTATATAAGGGGCTAAAATCCTAAGACCTATGTTATAAATTTATGCTAAGGAAGACTTAAAGATACTTCAAAATGAGAATTTAGCTTAGCACCGATTGAACTTGAGAATGAGAGTGTCCCTTCCAAAAAGGTAGGTTCATTCACCAAATGTTCTCATAAGGTGGAAACTACAATGCCAATTAGCATAAATAGAGTTTCTAGGAACAATCTCCTAGTTCCTTAACTATGTTCCACCATAGGAAACCTAGCTAGTATGGATCCACATAGATGTTATTATCATGTACATGTCCTACCTCGGCCAGTAGGATGTCCTCCTTTTGGTGTGACGGGTTGAAACTGTATTCCATATTTAGCTCAGATGGTTTAATGTCTATTTTGGCAAAGTTTCCCAAAAGTAAAAAATAAATGAATGAACTTAAAAGATTAATACTAACTAGGATTACTTATGAGGTGTACTTACTCTAGGTAAGAGTATGAGACTTTACCTATTCATTGCACAAATTCACCTTGAGGAGAGTCCTAAGGTGGTTTCTTTATGTACATTTGTTATGGATGAAATACATAATGTAAATCCTATATAATTTTGGTATTATATGATGTTGGTTTCACTTGATATACATGAGGTTGGTCTAAATTGTTACGTATGAGGTTGACTACACGTGTTATGATGTTATATGATGTAAAGGAAATGCTTATGGTCTCTTTGCTAGTTTAAATTGTTTATGTGAGGTTATGGGTTTCACATATACATTGCACTAGTTGACTTGAATTGGATTATGATTAAGGTATTGTGATATATTGATTAAATGTTTCTTAATGATTTATTATGATGTTACTGTTGAACATATAATATGAAAATGTATTATTGTTGTTATTTCATGGAATTGTATATGTTATTGGGATGTGCATGAAATCTTTAAAACTTAACTCGGCATGCTTATAAATAATGTACCTTTGTGCATATTTTCAAGTGATTTACATGCATGTGTTTTCAAACATAGTTCATGTGATTTGAACTAACCCATATTCTCTTCTATTCTCTACACAAAGGGTAGGTTCAGGCCATTAAAGATATTCCACTATTTCTTTTAAAAACATAGATTGCTAACCCCAAGTTGGTGAGTCTTCAAGTCCGAAGATAAAGATGCATAACTCTAGTTTCACATTTCCTATTTTAAAGAGTTTATTGTAATTCCTATTATGAAACATATTTTAATGTTGTCTTGTACTCTTATGTTTAGATGGTCATGTGAGACAATCGTAGTCTATTTTTCATATATGTTCAATGAAGTTGAACTTCAAAGAAAAGTTTTAGTTTATCCGCTTTTATTTTACCTATGATGAGATGATTAATTCTAAGGGCTTGCCAAAGGGATCTTCGATGACGAAGACCCTGGTTACGTCTAGGGAGTACTGTCCAGTCGTTACACACAGGGGCGGTTAGATATAACATTCTTCTTGCATGACTATAAATTTTTTTTCATGTACCATCAAGAATATATATTATGTCAGGTCGTCTGTAGAATTGTTCGACGGCCTAAAATTTAAGCAAGAGGTTCCATACTTCAAAGAATATTCTATGTATTATGCATGTCAACCCACAATTGAAGCAAAAGGTTGCATCGTTCAAAGTATATTCTATCTTTTATGCTAGACAAAAAACTTCTCATCATTTGTGTTTTTATGCATGAAATATAATTTTTCTAGGTTCAACCTCTGTTTGAGCTAAATCTTGAACAAAGTAACCTAAACATTTTTCAATCTTTCCCCTCTATTTAGGAAAAATAAAGAAACCTAATAGTGTGATGGAGAAGGCATCCGAGCGATATCTTTCCCTTCTCTTGATGAAGAACTCAAAGCATCTATAAAAAGAGTAATAATTGTCTTCATAACAAAAATGTGAATACGAAAATTCTAAAGAAATCCACTCCAGATCCAAACATGTTAATGTTGAAATGATGGCTTTTAGGATACCATCAATTTACACTTGTGGTATGAAAACTCGATGAAACTACCGATGTTTACGATCATATGCACCAAATGGAAATCAACAAATTTGAAGACGATCCTCAAAGGGTCCCAAAATTATAGCAAGGCCCAATCAAGTGAAAGTCGGGTATGACCAAAATGAGGAATGTAAGACCACCCCTTACTTTGTGCCTTACTTCTACGACCATTTGCGGGTTAAAGGAATATGGAAAGGTTATGACTCTACAAATAAACAACAAACAAATTCTTAACTCCATTTTTCCATAATTTGTCTTAGTATAATTATAGTTATCATATTGACAAATAATATACAACTTGTATAAAGGGTGTTGGGAGCCTTTAGTCTATAGGGTGGCTACTAATCCTCCTCATTGACGCAAAGAGTAAAAACCACTTAATGCATATGCAACATGTATAACCTAATTGAAATTTAAAAGAATTTTCTTGACACAAAAACTTGAAGAGATTTTATGCGAGAAGGCACTATACCCTTGTTAGATTATGCTTCTCAGCTATGTATAGTTCAACATTAAAACTTAATTAACCTTATTATATATATATATATATCCTTTTTTCTTAGTGCATTCCGTTTAAATATGCATACTTTGCGCTATATCGTTTAATAATTTAGGTTCAGGTACTCATCGTCCAGATCAATACCTTTAGAAAACTACTCTCTAGTCTAATTTTCACATTTTACTATATAAAGTCAAAGGATAATGTGTAGAATCCACTTAAAAAAAGGCCTTACGAGAGGGAATATTCAAAGATCATCTAAAAGAATGGGTTTATTGCTTAGTACAAGTTATTATTGTGGTAACTCGACCTAGCAAACTAGAGATCTCAAAAACTAAGCTCAAAGAGAAAAGAAATTTGTGAATGATGGAATAGTATTATCAATTCATTCTCATGTTGAATAAAATGTTCATAAATAAGGATAAAACAATAAGACTTGTTAATTAGTTAAAAAAGCCCAAATTTTATAATGATTTTCTATGTTTGGAAGATATGACCAAATTAAGTATTTATGGGATAACACTTTTTAGAAATCACCTATAGGAGTCTGAGAACTAAAATTGGTAAAGGGTTTAATTGTGAAATATGGTTGTCTATGTATACACTAAAGCTCGACAATTTCGAGTACGTCACTCCTACCAATTGACAGAATATATATATCTGACATATTTTCAGTCATTATGTCGATGCATTAATTCTTGCTTGTAAAGTATAACACTTTTCAGTTTCTTTGTCTTGGATTCATTCACCAATAATGAGAGGGATTGTTGAGTTGTAAAGAGTGGGAACGGAAAACAAGAGCGTGACATTTGTGAAGAGTAATAAATTTTATGATGAGTTGCGGCTTTAATGAAAAGTTCCAACTTTATGAAGAGTTGTAAACTCTTTGAAAAGGTGTTACGTTTATTAAAAGTTGTGAACTTTCAGAAGGATTGTGACTTTCTCGAAAGGTTGTCGTACTTCTGATAAGGAACAACATGGACCTTTTCTCACTAACCTTTGTTGTCTATAAATAGAGGGGTTTCCTCTAATTTTTAGAGAACCAATTTTATGGACATCTTCTACTATTAAATCTATTATTTGAAGTGTACTTTACTATCATTGGGTGATCCACTGATACCATGGGTATATGTATCTTTGCACAGGTGAGTAAGATCATACAGTCTTAGAAGGATGTAATCTATTAACGTAGGGAACTTGAGGGGAATAATTTACTTATGAGGAGAATATGCATTCAGTAGGCTCAATTTTCTTCTTTGAGAAAAATATGTTTATTGTTTAATCTTTTTCTGATTATATTTTTTGACAGGTTTCAATTTTTGAATTTTGAGGATAATATTTAAATTTGTTTTTCCATACCAAGTTCTGAAATGTTTTTGTTCTAGGTATTTTAGGAATACATGATGAAAAACAAAATATTGCAAAGAACTTATAGTGACTTATATGCTCACCATGCTAGAGAATGGAATGTCAGCACATAAAATTGCATTTTTGTATTCAATCCACACACACTACATCAAAAAGTAAAGAGTTTGAATTCCTTATATGCAAGAAATAATTCAAGCCCTAGTATCACTCATTCGACAAGTAGGAAGAGAGGTGATTTTTTTTATTAATGGACAAGATATTATGTTTCTTAAATTGTGGGATTACAATATATTCTTAAAATAAATATATAATGCAGTTACTACAAAATATTCTTAGTTGCAATTCCTTGTGAAAGGTGCAATATTTTTTATCACGCTATGAACTGCCCCCATATGCGGACACGGGGCTTAGGATCACAAGTTACCCCAAGTTAACCCTAATAGCATAATATGAGCATACAAAATTATAATAATAACTTATCCAAAAGAAAATCATAAATACATCTAAAATTATGGGTCGTACGCATATAGTAAATTTAAATATATCAAATCGAAGAGTTTAATACAACAGAAATCTAAAACTCAGATACTAAGCAAAATTTAACTATGTCTGAAATAAGCCTCTGAAGTTAACTAGCTATATTGAGACATGCCCCTACTAGATCTACCAAACTGAAATTAAAGAGGAAAAGTTGCAAAATAAACATGTCACTAGTCCTGAAAGAATGAGACATCACCATTTGTGTTGTCGAACCAAAGATCGAGATCCGATAAATGCATGATCTAACTTCTTTGATCGGACCCTTCATCACGAGAAAAAGCTTAGAGTATGTCTTAGTACTTGAAAGTTATTCAGCATGCAAGATAGAGTAAATCTAAAATAACATAAAAATGAACAAGAAATAAAGCAAGAGCGTAATCTTAGCATGATCTAGATACTGAATTTTGAGCGAATAAAATGCAATGACCAATTCATAACATGCTAAGGCTGAATACTTACTAATATGAAATGATAAATGAACTAGAGTTTACATAAACTGTGGGAGCTACTAATAATCTATAAAAAAACCACACGAGCTAAATATGGAGTCTGATGTATTCGCCTCATCAAGAGAACCAAATATACCCGCGCAAAGGTATAGAGGCATGCTGATGTGATCACTAAAACGATGCCTACCAAAGGGGACTTAAAACCTAAATGGCTCATGGTTCTTGAACTATATGGGTACCTGAATCTAGTCCAACTCGGTATTATTCTACTCCCAATATATTCCGTGATTAATATAGTATGACTTAATGTCTCTGATACACCAAATACCTTAAAATGACATACCAATTGAGAATACACATTAATAAACTAATTGTGACACATTTCAAAATGAAGCATGCACAACTGAAATTACTTAAATAGTTGGCCTAGCACGCTAATTCAAGAACTAAAGAACCACTTAGCTACGGTTCTAAAAATCATGTAATGAATTGATTAATAAGATAATAATTTTATTTTGACCATTCTAACAGCTAAAACCCCAATAAATATCTCAGTCAAGAAACTCTAGGTCTATATGATATTGAGAGAGTAAAGGATCCGACTGAAATATAGGTACTTAAAGGGTGAAATGAACCCACTAGTGGAATATCACATACTTCCTGATAAACTCAACGGATAAATCATTTAATTTCAAGGCTAGAGCTCATTGAACTTGTTGGGTTATTTAACTAGGGGGGTCTCTCCTCTTTCTCCTTTTGCTCTTCTAATTTTCTAAGCTTTGAATAACGATTTGAATATGGTATGTAATAGTTACATTTCTAGGATTAAACTGATTAAAACAACATAGTTTAGGGGTTAAATGTCGTAGTTTAAGTTCCGATCAAAAAAGGGAATATACAAAAAAATAAAAATCTAATAGGCCGACCACTTCTGCTACTTCCATGGATCTTGTAAGGAACCTGGACGTCCCCATCGTCCTCACTATGACCGGAGGTCTGAGGGTTTTGGGGTTTGGTCCACAATCCCCAACCACGACCTGTGTGGAGGAACCCAAACTATGAAGATCCCTGTGATCCTTACTTGGGCTTCGATCTAGAGGCTCAATTCTAGGGGTCTACTTGTTAAGCCTCCGCGAACTACCCCACAGTCTGTGTGAAGAACCACGAATTGCTAAGGTCCTTGTGGTCCTCACTAAGGCGTAAGGATCTATAAGATTTTTGAGGTCCGTATGGATAATACATGGTTTGTTATCTAGACCGTGATCCTTGAAGGGTTTTGTGATCTGAAGTCTATGCCTCATTGAGTTAAACTCAAGAATACAAATAGGTCAACAAACCATGGACCCTACCATGGTCCGTTAACCCTATAGTGGTTCAGTACTTCGGATATGTTGTATGTGATTCTTTTTTAGGTCTAGTTTATGAGGTGTTCCAATAGTTCCCCCTTCAGAAAATACACCTCGAATGAAGGCTAAACTAAATTAAATGGAGGGAGAGGGCTGCAGTCCCTACCCCTAGACACTCGAATCTTATTTGTGGTTGAACTATGTTCCAAGAACATGCAAATACGCTTAAAGTAAGAGTACAAACTGAAGGATCATTGTACTAAAACTTAATTTACGCATGAATAACAGAAAAACATAAGAGGAAATGTAAACTCAAGTTTGAATTGAATTTCAAGGAAAGAGGTGAGTGTACTTGGCCTTTATTTCTACTTCTTATTCCCAAGTAGCTCTCTCTACAGACTTACTCCTCCACAAAACCTTGACTAATGCGACTTCTTTGTTTCTAATCTTTCAAAGTTAATGATCAAAGATTTCAATTGGTACCGCTTCATAAGTGAGACTATCCTTTATAGCCACACTTTCTAAAGGTACAATTGATGTTGGATAACCCAACAACTTCTTTACAGATGTGGAAAACAGGATGCCCAACTGTGACTTTTTATAACAACACTTACCCATAAACCACATTACTAACCCTTTTTACGATACTTTAAGGGCATACATATCTAGGAATGAGCTTCCACTTCTCTACGAATCTCATCACTCCTTTCATAGGAGACACTTTCAGAAAAACCTAATTATCAACTTGGAACTGTTATTCCCTTTCCCTTACATTTACATAGGATATTTAGCAACTTTGGGTTGTCTTAAGTCTATCTCTAATGAATTGCACTTTCTGCATAGATTCATGGACTAAATCATGTCATATCAAGGATTTTTCACCTAGTTCAAACCAACCAACTGTATACCCACATCTGCGCCCATAAATTTTCTCATAAGGGGCCATCCAAATGAAGGAATTGGAACAATTTTTGTAGGTGAACTTTATAAGAGGAAGGTGATCATCCCAACTACCCGTGAAATCAATCACATAGTCTCTCAACATGTTCTCTAATGTCTGAATGGTATTCTCTACCTGGCCATCCGTCTGTAGATGAAATATTGTGCTTAGGTTAACTTGAGTACCAAGACTTCGAGAAATGAGAGGTGAAATGAGGACCTCTATGTGAGATGATATACAAAGAAACCCCATACAACCTCACAATCTCATTAATGTAAATCTTGGCATAGGGCACTTAGCAAAAATATCCGCTTTATCTCTTTTTATACCATTCCACCAATAGACTTCCTGCAGATTGTAATACATCATAGTGACGCCAGGATGAATAGAATATCTGGATTTATGGTCTTCTGCAAGAATTTTTTGTTTCAACTAACCTACCTCAGAAACACATAATCGATTCTTATAGCGAAGTACACCATCTCACCCTTGGGAGAAAACCTACAGTCTCTGGTGATGGGTTGCATGTTTTATCTCAAACAATATTGGATCATTGTCTTATTTATACTCAACCTGCACCACCGATTAACATTTTCCCCATTCGTTACACCACTATCTGATTTTCTTATTTGATGAACTCCAAGGAGAAAAGTCTATGAACATTCTTTGCTAGGTCCTTTCTTTCTTCCTCAACATGTGTTACACTACCAATTGATAATATGCTTAGAGCATCCGCTAATACATTGGCCTTACCAAGATGGTAATTCACACTCATGTCATAACCTTTAAGAAACTCTCCATCTTCTCTGGTGAAGATTCAACTATTTCTAGGTTAACACAAAGAGTAGACTCTTATGGTATGTGAACATATCTACGTGAACATCAAACAAGTAATGTCTCCAAATATTAAGTGCAAACACATATGCTTCCAGCTTGAGCTCATGATTTAGTTAATTCTTCTCATGCACCTTAAGTAGTATAGAAGGATAAGCTATAACATTACCTCGCTACATAAGCACACAACCTAGGACGAATGTTGAAAATGACAATATATGAGATAACCGTTTGACCTTCTAGCAAAGTCAAAATAGGAGCTATAGTCAACCTAGATTATAATTTCTACAAAGATTTTGTCAAAATCATCTGACCACTGATACTTGACCTTCCTCTCAGTCAACTTAGTCAACAGAGAGGCTATGGATAAAATTCCTTCCACGAATGTTCTATAGTAACCCACAAGAAACCAAGAAAGCTTCTGATATTGGAGAGGTAGGTCTATGACATTGTCTGCGTCTATTATCAGGGAATCATCTCGAATCCCTGTGCTCGACATTATATATCCAAGGAAGAAAACTGAGTGCAGCCAAAACTCACATTTGCTAAACATAGCAAATAACTGACACTCCTTGACAGTTTGCAGAATAACCCACAAATGAATCACTTGTTCTTCCTCATTCCTATATTAAATGAGGATATCATCAATAAAGACAATAACAAAAAAGTGCAGATACTTCTTGAAAAATTTGTTCATCAACTATATGAAAGTTAAAGGAGCATTGGTTAGTCCAAATAACCTTACTACGAATTCATTATGATCATACCAAATTCTGAAGGTTGTATTCCTAATATTACTATCTATAACTCTATGTTGATGATAACCTGATCTGAAGTCTATCTTTGAGAAAATACTAGAACCCTGAAGATGGTTGAACAAGTCATAAATCTTAGGTAAATAATACTTTTTGTTGATTGTGACCTTGTTCAACTGCATACAGTAAATTCTCATTCTTGGAGAACTATCATTCTGTTTAAGAATAACACTGGTGCACCTCATGGTGAAATACTAGGTCTGATGAAGCCCTTATCTAGAAGGTGTTTCAGCTTCTCTTTCAATTTCTCAAAATAAAGTAGGGTCATTCTATAAGGAGGACTACATATATGTCGGGTATCCGCAAAGAGATCAATTTAAAAATTGATTCTCCAAGAAAATATTTTGGAAGCAGTTGTGAACTAATCGACTACACGAATTTACTCAAGAGTTGAGGTTTTGGATATTTAATCCTTAACACGAACTAGATGATATTATAACGGTTAGAGATCATCTTTCTGGTCTTAATGTAAAAAACTGAATCTACCTATAGGCTCTAAGCTACTATGCTTCCATTATAAGATTAGTGCATTTGGAAACTGAAAACAAACAATCCTAGTTATCCCATGACAAAATCATAATAGTAATGCAACCAATAAATGCTTAGAATTACATTGAAATCTACCATTTCTAACTCTACAAGATATGATGAGGTGACTTTCTGAGAAACTCTACGACAAAATGATTAATGTATACCCATCTAGATATGTGTGGATCACCGATGGGAGTAGGGAGTGAGAAAGGTTCTAACAGAGTTTCTTGATAATTGTGAATTTGACCGCTATATAAGGAGTGACAAAAGATTAGACCTTAGATCTGAAAATCCATAAATATTAAAATGAAAGACTTGTAACGTACCAATGAACATATCATGAAAATCTTCCTAATCCTAGAGAGCCTAGACAACATATGACATATTTTTTACTAACTGCCACATGTACCAGATGTGTTACCATACTAAGTCGGGTGTCTTGCTGGTGCTGCAAAAATTCTGGACTGATCTCGAACATTGTTGCCTCATTAACCATATATAGAAGTACATTACTTCAACCTTTGACTAGATCGACCACACCCAAAGCATATCATATTTTGATAGACATTATTGGGACAAGTTTGTAGGTTTGTGTGCCTAAAATAAAACCTTTACTCTAAGAGGATGATCCAACTAACTTTTTTATTGTTACGGAACATGAAAGATAGAACACTAGCTGATCAAGGTGTTGGAGCTTCTGCTGAAACTGCGAGCGAGTTACACCACCTAATTTCTGTTGAGAATTATCATAGTTACCTATCCTATGTTTCTCACTCTTCGTAGCTTGTTCCCTAAGCTTACCACCCTTAAAATGTTCAGCATGATTCGTGAGCCTAGAGATGTTCATATCTTCCAGCAACATAGTATTCCTCGACTCTTTTTCTTTAAGTATAACACTCCACAAAAGAACTTATTCATTTGAGCCTTAGACCATGTTAGGAGCATACCTTGAGAGTTGGGTAAACTTGAGCCATACTCTTGGACTATCATGATACCTTGCCTCAAGTTCATATATGTGTGAGTTTTTGCCTTCCTTATCTCTCTTGGGAAAAACCTGTCCGAAAGGTCTCAATAAAGCAATACCAAATAGTTGGAGCAGGATCTGTACCTGGGTTCTCCTTCCATTGAGCATACCACTTATGAGCTACATCCATAAGTTGATATGATGCTAACTAAACCCTATCATTCCAAGTTACTAGCGTCACCTCAAAGATTTTGTTAACCTCATAAATGAACATTTTGGAATCCTAATTAACCTGTGATCCTAAGAACTCTGGCAAATTCATTCTCATAAAATCCCACACCTACGCTATAGCTGATCCAACAATAGCATGAGCATGATATGGAATCCCCTGATTGTATTAGTTGGCAACACTCTAATCCAAAATTTGAATGGTGCTCCTAAATTATGCGTTCAAAACATTCTAATCTGGGACTTGAGGAGCTGATTTTTTTCGTTCATGGAATTTGTTTTTCTTGTGTTAGCTCTACGAGGAGGCATAATCTGAAAAGTAGAACGTCAAGTTAGAATATAATTTGATCAGACCTTACGCAAGATAAAAGTAACAAGACAAATGAAGATTTTTCCTAATATACTTTGTAGCCTCCCTCTCATTAGATGTGGTGTACTTCATACCCATGAAAGGACTCAACTTAGAGAGGATTTTATGACATCTTAAGAAACTTAATCATGGGGGCACTGATACCATGTTTTCACGCCCCAAACTACCCTCTAGATGTGTATATGAGACCTAGGATCCCAACTGACCTACAGATAACCACAATAGCATAACATGAGCATACTAAGAATAATAGTAAATGATGCGGAATCTAATCATAATAATTTGGAAATAGTGGGGAATACTCATCTACTAAAACTAAATATATCAAATCAAAGAGTTTAATACAACAGAAATATCAAACTCAAATACTAAGTTGAATCTTACTATGTCATGAATAGGCTTATAAAACTGATTGAAATGTATGGATATGTCCCCACTAGATCAACCAAACATAAACTAAAGATGAGAGGTTGTAAAGTAAGAATGCACCTGTCCTCGGAGAATGAGGACTCACTATTAATTTTGCTGGACTGAAGAACGAAACTGATCTATGCATGATGTGACTTCTGCGTACCTAAACCTTCATCACGAGAAGATGTAGCGCTGATTATGCATTAGTACTTGAAATGTAATTAGCATATATGATAGAGTAAACCGGAAACATAATATAATTGAATAATCAATAAAGCAAGAGCTTAATGTGAGCATTATATTGACATTAAATACTGATCAAACTAAATTCAATGACCAATTTATAACCTGCTAAGACTGAATATTAACTAAACTTAAATGGTCAATGCACTAGAGTGTGATTGAACTGTGGGTGCTACTAATAACCAATAATAAAACCACATTTTCTAAATGTGGATTCTAATGTATATTCCCCATAGAGAGGACCCTATATACCCGACCAAATATATAGAGGAATTCATGTGTAATCACTCAAATGATGCCCACATTGGGGACTTACTACCTATGTGGCTCATAATTCTGGGACTATCTCGGTAGCTTACCCTAGTCCAACTCGGTATATGCTATTTTCAATAGATTAAGTGATTGACATAGTATTAATAAATTTTTATCATATAATGGATAGATGAAAATGATATGAGAACTATAATGCACATTAAGAAACTAATGACACATTCAAAAGTAAGGCATGTATATCTAAAATAACCTAAAAATGTGGCCTAACAAGCGTAATTCAAGAACTAAAGAAATACATAGCTAGGGTTCTGAAACTCGTGCAATAAATTGAGTAATAACATTATAATTTGATTTGAATCATTCTATTAGATAAAAACCCAACAATTCTATCATTCAAGAAACCCTAGGTTTAGATGATATAGAGGGAGTCAAGAATCTAACTAAAAACTAGGGACCTAATGGGTAAAAGGAACCCACTAGAGAAAACTCAGATACATGGTGATGAATTCCACGGAGAAATCTTTCGCTTTTGGGGCTAGAATTGATGGAACCTTTTTGCGTTCATGAACTAGGTTTGCTCATATTTTTTTCCTCTTTCACATCTATTATTATATGTTTGATAAATGATTAGGTTTTTGCAATCGAATCCTCCTTTCTTCATATATTTAGCAACTCAATTTTCTTGCGAATTACAAAAAATTAAATGAAATTTTAGAAGTACAACATGGCTTATAGCTCTGAGAAATTCTATAACGGCACAATTTGTAAAGATACAATTCTAGTTATGAATGAATATATGGAGGTTACCAAAAAAGATAGTGGAATAACATGTTTCCAGAGGAGAAGTTAAGATTGTTGTTTATCAATTGAATTGGTATGAACAATCTAAAATACCCACATACTACACTTAAATAAAGGACATGAAATCAAAGATGTGTGACAAAATATGTAGTGTCTTCCCTTTCCTCTAAATAAGTATTGATAATTCGGGGAATGTCCAATGAAGGGAATCACTAGATATTAGTTCATTATTATCTTTGTAGCGAAGAACTACATGTAATAAAATTTTCACTGTACATTTAACAAATATTGAATGAGGTTTCAATCAAATCCTATTTTCTTTTATCGCTTTATTGTTACTTGAATGGAGTCTCATGTTATTTCCTTTATGTCATTCTTGAAAATGCAAAAGTTCTAAGTTTTATCGAGGGGTTATTCTTTTTTCAAGTGTACGAGAATTATTCTGATGGTAATTATATAATCGAAGATTGGAAACTTATTCCTCTTCATCAATATTATCGTACATTTGTTGATGTTATTGCTCTTTATTCGATCCTGAACATAATATTTAATCATAGTATCACATTGTAACTTCAGTCCCTCCTCTGGATCAGCAAATTCACTTATATGAGGTTTACTCATCTCAATCAAATTTCGGAGACGCGCTTTGTAGATTGTCTTAAGTAGAAAATTCAATTGTTATTGGTGGAGATATTTTATGACATTGATCGCGTATTGGAATAGAACATGAAATGATGTACCAGCTTCTAATGAGAAAAATGAGATCACAATAGAATATAAGTTAAGCTATGTGACTCTTTATAATGTATGTTGGGACATTTTTTTTATATTTATTGGATATACAGGAAGGAGTAAGAACATATAAGTGCAGCGGTACGTAAATCTTGGACACAAAAATCATGAGAAATTTTTCTTCGTTAATAGTCATATTGCGTCGTAGAGCTACCTTGAATTGATTTTTGAAGGACATTATGGCTATCAACATTACTAAAGGATATGTCCATATAACTTCAGGGTTCATAAGATTGGGATTCTCATGAGCACATGACAATGATATCCTTAGAGATGATTCAATCCCTACAAAAACAATCTCGATATGTACATGAATTGAAGAATTAGGGACGTTGATGATATTTTCAATTATTGTCAACTATACAACCTATTTCATGTTCTTTGCTAAAGCATGTAGTTTGTCCTTTCATTAGAACTCCTTGACAATGGTAAAACAGAAAATATAATAAGTTCTAATGAAAGGATAGAATATATGTTTCAACATATAATACTAAAAAAAGTTATCTACTTGACAACAATGGAAAATACCATCAAATGCACTGTATTTTCACCTGATGTTAAAGAATTAGGTTTTTGATGTACGGTAGAATCCTCCTTACGAAATTAGGTGTCATGTACTCTTGAGAGTCTCAACCTTCTTTTCTCTCCAGCGATAATATATATCCTTTCAGTTATGTAGATCACCACATTGTCAACAGAACTGCTAATGCAAGGTGGTATGCTAAGTTACATAACAACATCGTTAATAAATGACGTTTTCTCAAATACTTGCTTGACTTATGTACAAGAATTTCATACACTACACTTCACATTGCTGTGCTTTTCTCCATAGATGTTTAATAGAAAAACATACCTAGCATCTTTATAAGTAGTTTGAAAGCATAAATCATCGTCTATTTGTGTTAAGATACTATAAATACGGGTTGAAAAGACATGTAGAACTCTTGTGATCTCATTTTTCACATTAATGAAAGCACATAATTTGATGTTTCATTCTGGTAAGAAATTCCCTTCATATATAACACTACCATTGAAAAAAGTATCTTTAACGTTGGTCAACTTAAAGAAGATCACCTCTTAAGATTTTGATTAAGATGTGAAAATCTCAAATAAGATATTTTTTTATTAAAACAAGGTATTGTAGAGACAATATTACCATGATGATTATATTCAAGAATAACTACTAGAATAAATCCATGATAATACTATTGAGGATGGATAAGTTTGGGTTCTTTCATAATAGGATTATAAAAAAAAACAATCTCCCACCCTAACAAAGGAAAAACCCACTACTAAAACTTGAACTTCGCTCCTTTAAGGAAATAAACAAAGGAGAGGACCGGGAATTCCAATTGCAGAATAATCCATAGATTAAAATAATGAATTAGATTGAAATTTAGTATCCATTGCTTAATTAAATTATTCTAAAAGTGTCAAGGATGAATTACTTTGCCATGATAAAAATAGATAAAAAATTCCCTTCTAATGTAGTTTGCTTGCGGGTAATTTAGAGTCTTATGAAATTTTTTGAATATCTATCCCCTTTTTTCAATCATGACATCATTCGATTCATTGGATCTATTAATCACATTATCCTTTCAAGATTTCATTTATTTTTAGTGTGTAGGTAATTTACTTTTTGAAAAATCAAGGGGAAAGGGGAAAAATGGCTGCAAAACTTTTGCACTGATAACAAAAATTATGCACGAAACAAATCAAAATAATACTATCAAGTTATGAAATGCCTCACAAAATATGTTTATATAACATAAGAGTATTATTCCTTCCTACCTGTAATATTTGTATGTAAACAAGATACAATCTAAGATTCGTGAACTTTATTCGAGAACATTAAATCATGAACTTTAGGTATTGCTCCAAATCCTTTCTTCAAAACACTAGGAAGCTAAGAGAGTGTTTTACAAACTAAATGCTTTTCGTTGTGTCTTTAATCTCATCCTTTTTGAATTCTTGTTGTTCTTCTTATTTCACTTTTATAAAGAGTAAAAACCAAAAAACAAAACAAAGAAAAATGACTTAATTTAGAAAGAACATCATAACAACGTTGGAATAACTACATGTAACTGTTCTCACCCCTTCTTGAATTAATATTTAACTTCTTTTTTATTTTAATTGTTTTATTCAGAATTTTTTGGGGGGTTGGGTCGGTCGGGTCGATCCACATGCGCGACCCAAACCAAAACTTACACTACCTCTTTAATATCATTGATGCACTCATAAACATATTTAAATACTTCTATTTTGGATGTGAGTGGTCTTTCCTAGCAACAAATGAAGTAACAAATTGTACACGTAAATATAACCTAGAGACCAAAATCTATAAATAATGTTATGATTTTAGCTAATTTTAATATCGTTAGCATTTGATGCGAATGTTGTTGATTGATGATATATTTTCCTTTTTTCTCTTACAACAAAATTAGTCAGAAAAGATTGCACCCTAAATGAAAGTGTCTTTGGATAATGTAATGAAAATTAAGTGAATTCATTATGTTATAGCTTGAAAGTGTAACAAACCATACAATCACATTTATATTATGACTACTTCTTTCGAATACAAACCAATCCATCAAACATGGCATATATATATATATATCTTATTTTTTTCTAAACTAATTCTATTTATTAGATAATTAGTAACTACTCATTGATCAAATAAAAGAAAGAAAAACTTTTGTCAATACCATAACTATTGTGGCATACATTGTTTGATAATTTTGAGTTTTTCTCTCTATAATGTTTATATGTATATTTTTCTAATTAACGAAAAAGGGAAAGGCTCTGAGGATACAACTCTTGTCATATAGGCGTATGGAATGAGGTCTTGACCTGTTTCAAATATAATGTGAGAGGTCTTCTAAAGAAATTAACTTTGAGATTCTGTAATGATTAATTATAAGAGTCTTGAATGGTCAAAAACTATTGTATTACATGTTACTAGATATGAGATTAAATTATTTGTACATACATTGTCAATTATGTTTTAGAAGAACTAATAATATTTTGTGGTTAATGGTGTAAGTGGTAGCAACTATAATATAGTTTATTTAGTGTTCTTTGCAACCACATGCCTACTGTTGACTCACAAAAATTCTCAGTAATTTATATTTTCAAAATGTCTAAATATTGACTCAAATCGTATTGAGGTTGTTGGTTAGGATAGCATTGTAGTTGTTCGGGCATTAGATTCTTTTAATTTTTTTTCTTTGTTTTCTATTTCTTTTGGTATTTTCAAGACGGTGCCTAATTTCTTGATTGTCCATGTCAAATTTATAGTATTTATTTCCTATTATGAATATTTTGTATGTTGCATTTTTCCTTGTACTTTGTGGTACATTCTTGAAATTTTGTTTCATTTCTTAATCTTCTTGAAAGTCTGTCTTCACTCAAATTACTGCAATTCTATTTTTTCTAAAACTCTGCCCTATATTATTTTGTCATTGCTATTTTCTCAATGTCTATATTCTAGGTTTATTGTTTATTTTTGCCATTGTTCGTGATTTCAATGTAAAAATCTACCATCTTCATTTAGAAATTTTATATATTCCTTTCTCCTTGCCATTTTAGCATTAATGTATTTTCATAATTATTTTGTTGTGTGCATTTCATTAATTTAGTATATTCCCTGAATTATTTCTTGTTTTTATCTGGTTTGTGGTTTTGTTAATCCTTCATAGACTTTCCGCTTGATTCAGTAGTTTTATTAGCTTTCTATTTTATTTACAGTTTGTCTAGTTAAGTCTCTCTAATATATTTGGGAAATGATTATGGACTAGGGTCATTCTTCAGTAGCGGTTGGGGGCAAGGGGATGTGGTGGTACATGGTTTAAGAGTTATCCTAAGCTAAGAGTAAGGCTATTAAAAGGAAATTCCATGAAGTTTGTAAAGATTCTCAATAAAAGGATGATAAACATAACTTGTGTACTGCATACCAGATGGGAAGGTACCAAGGCATTGGAGGGACAGGTTTAAGTTGTAATACTCATGAGTATCAAGAAATAGAAATGGAGGAGGTATTTTAGTTGATAGAGATCTTCGAGATCCAATGGTAGAAGTTAGAAGACACAATAAAAGGATTATGATGATTAAGCTAGTGTTTGATGGTTTTATTTTAAAACATTATGAATGCTTATGCATATATTGCGCCACGTTTTTTGAATATAAATTTCAGTGCACGACCTAAAAACTCTATCGGGTTTTGTTTGAAATGAATAGTTGTCACCTAATAAATTAAGGCATGTTGATACACCTATATAACCGAACCAATCTAACTAAAGGGTCAATGAATAAGAGATCGGTTAATACTTCAAACTACATTGAGGAAAAGGTGTTAAGCATCTCTCGACATCTACAGTTATGTGCCCAGGCTGTATCTTATGCAATTAATGAGGGGGTTACAATTAGCAATTAAGATCACTTCATTTATTTACTATGTGGTTAAGCATGCGAACTAGATGAATAAACAAACAATAAACATATATTAAAAATGAGACAGTAAAAGAAGATAACCGGAAAGACAAAGTTATACACAAGTATATCGACAAGAAACTATTTTAATGTATTCTCTACCCAAAATAATTGTTATTAGAAACAAATATAATGAAAAGTAAATGGAGACTTCAAAACCTTAACTAACACTCTTCTACGGATAAACACACGAGTTATAATATGTTAAAGACAAAATCAGTTTTATCGTTTTATGATCGAGTAAACTTTCATCATCTTCGTTAAAGAGATTAACTACCCCTACCTTATCTTCCTCACACATAGCGTCCTAGAAGGTATGTAAGTCTCTTCTTAATGTTCAAGAGACACTAGACTATCTAGGAAAGTTTTAGACTAAAATAAAATATAGATTGTTAATTAGTCCCTCTAAACATTAGGTGAAACAATTTGGACGGGTAATTAGCACTTAAAACTCTAATTGACCTCTAGATTAGATTATTTAGCATGTTTGCAAACACAATAAAAGTTAAAGGTCTCATGCGAAGTGTGCATCATACAATCATGTAAGTAGGAAGGCGCAACAATATAATCATTAATAAAATGGCAAAATTATGACATAGTGCAAAATTTATTATTTTAGTTGATTTTAAGTGGCCAAACAATTATTTATAATGCAAGAACTAAAATATTTCTTGCAGGATTTACTTTGGACAACAAACATTCATTTTAAAAAGATTCTGATTATCATTCAATAATTAATTGAATTAAATGGAAAATTAGTACGAAAATGCAGAAATAAATCAATTAGAATATTTAACCGGGAAAGATCAATTTTCAAATAGATTAAGATTTAAAAATATTTAGATTACCAATTAATTAAGGTGCTACAATTTTATTATCAATTTTATTGATGAAACTCATATAGGCATGATTTCTAAAAGAAAATATATCATTATTAAGACTGGTTATTAATATTCTACAATTAACTCAAGACTTGATTGATCGACATGTTCAATCTTATTCATTAAATTCTACAGACATGTTTTTCTAGGCGAAAAATAAAATAACTATTATTCAACGTACAAACACAATTTTCTAGGAGAAGAATAAGAAAATTGTTATTCAAGCTGCATCAAGACTTGATTGTTTGACATACTACAATTCTATTATCAATCTTATTAATGAAAATACTACGAGCATGAATCCTAAGTGAAAATATATAATTATTAACATTAGTTATTTACATGCTACAATTAATTAAAGACTTGATTGATCAACATAATGAATCTTATTCATTAAATCATACGGACATGATTCTCTAGGCGAAGAATATGATAAAAATTATTTAACCTATATGCATGCTTTGTACTCCAAATAACATATGAAAATTAGTTTTCCTATAGTCATGATTTCGATCTCATGAAATGGATTATTAAACAGTTAATCAAGTTCGGAAAAATAAAATCCTATAGGCATTGTATCTAGCCTTGTTACATATATTAGAGTCATTAGGCGAAAAATTACTCAATTTTAACCCTCCCACAAGATTAAGTGGTTTTAGACAAAGATCTCTGCATACGAAAGCATGAATAATATCACATAAGCATGGTTTCAAATTTTATCATGAAGCGCAAAATTTAATTTCTTACATGCTGATTTATTTTAGATTAAAAGTAGAACGAAATTACAGATAAACGATGGCTTGATTTTAGGTCAGTTATTATGACACATTTACCCGATTTTATTTCTAAGTGATACAGACTGATTTTTATAACAATCAAATATAAAAAAACAATAAAATAAAACACTTAGCACATATACACTGTCCCCCCTTAGGTTATTCCCAAATATTTCATTTAGATACGACAGTGTTTTTTCTAATTTCTAGAACGTGTGAGTATTTATTCGTGAAATAATTAGAATAAAGGAGTGATTTTATAATAAATAGGGGGACACAACCACAAGGAAAAATAATGAATTAAGTCCATTGAACTTTTTATCTTATTAAGAAGGAAGCCAAATCTGTCGACACTTCTTTAATTAGGAAAACTTTACCAAATTAGAGCATGTAAGAGTGTTTAAATTTATAGAAGGCATGAGGGAACCATTTATTATCAATATTTTTTGAAATTCATAAAAGTAAGAATTTGTATTCAATTATATAAGGCAAGGAGGTAATAATTAAAGGTACAACAGATAACATAAGATTATTTAAGGGAGAAAATAATTAGCGACCATGTAAGGATCAATACATACAATTTTACGACTAATTCTTTAGAAAATAAAGAGACTAAATATGAAGAAGATATAAAATATTACACATATAGAACAAAAAGGAAAGGAATTGGATATTTTTTTCCTCTTAAACAAAGGAGCATAAAATCAGCAAAATTCTTCATTTTGCCATATTTTTCATGCTAATAACTTCATATCATCTAGTATTTTATTCTAATTGAAAATCACGAGCCGATCGAGAATGAAAATTGAGAATATTTTGAGATGAATAATAATTAAATGAAAAGGGACAAACCTAGAGGATCTGTTAAATTTCCGTCTCTTGACCAGCTTGAAACTTTGAAAACTCCGTCAGATCTCGCTGCTGGTGACAGATGTGCTGGACAAAGCTGCTGTCTCGGTTGGATTTGCCACAACAGGAAAGAGGAGAAGAGAGAGAAAGACAGAGAGAGAGAGAGGAGAAAGGACAATAGGGGAGATCGACGGCTCCTGGCCTTAGGGGTGTGGTCTCCGGTCAACGACAAAGAAGAGGTCTGAGAGCCTATTTGGCTCCGCTTAAAAGCTGGTCAAACAGACTTAAAAGCTGGTTTTTGACTTATTTAGCTGTTTGACAATATTCAAAATAACTTATTTTAAGTTAAATAAAACTTATTTTAAGCCAAAATTTAAAAGCTGAGGTAGGGGTGCTTTTTTTTCCAGCTTATAAGTTGTTTTAAGTTGACCATATTTTCACCTTTTTGCCCTTAATATTTTTATTCAATCTTCAAATTACCCACATAACCCTAACATCTCTTTTTTCTATTTTTCCCTTTTCACGTGTGGATGATAGACAATTACTATTACTAATGAATGAAAATAAAATAAATGTTAAATCTTTCAAGTGATCTATTCAAATTATATATTATTAAAATGTAAAATAAGTTGCACATATAACTTTAATAAAAATTTATATTCCTCTTATAAATAATTTGTGATAATAAAGAAATATGTGAATGAAAGACAATTATTATCTATGGATGAATCTAAAATAAAATCTTAAATTGTTCTTTAATCTATTCAAATTATATATCTTTAAAATCTATAATAAGTTTATATTCCTCTTATAAATCATTTGTGATCATAAAGAAACATGTGAATGATAGCAAAATATAATTATTTATGGCTGTAAAATATAAATTTATTATATTTTATTATGTTAACAGCTAAAAGGATATTTCAGACATTTGATTTAAAAAGTGTTTATCAGCACTTATTTGCCAAACACATCAACAACTTTTTTTTTAACTTCAGCACTTTTATCCAAACTCATAACTGCTTATTTTAAAAATAAGTTTCAGCACTTTCAAAAGTACTTTTTTAGAGCTGCTTTTATTAAGCCCATCCAAACGGGCCCTGACAGAGTTGCGGCTCTCTCTTGCTGAAGAGGAACAATGAGAATAAAATTAGGGTATGGGTATTTTAGATTAAAATAAGAAGGAATGGTTATCCTGATAGTTGGATCAATGAAAATAACGAGCAATGATAGGGTTTTTTAAATTTACACGAGTGAGAATGGTCAAGATTGATCTATTTTATTATTGGTTTAATTTTGAATGGCTAAAATTGGATAAAATTGTCTAGTAATGAAATCTAAAGGTGGCTACAATTAAAATGAAAATGAATAGGGTTATTTATCAATTAAATAAATTAAAATAGAATAGGCTAAGATTTAGAAGATCAGGGAAGTGTTCTTCCATCAATAAAATACAACATATATTAATATATTTTCATATAAATTAAACATATCTATGTTTTAAAATATTTAAGAAATTATTTTGAGATTAAATATTGATAATTATAATCATAAAATAACTTATTAAAAAATAAATGTACTATTTTTTATTTATTCTTATTTCTTTTAAAAAATAATGAATACTAAAATATGTATATATTTTTAGAGAGGATCATTTAAAAATCTAAACACGAAAAAAGTGTTAAAAATACATATTTAATGGAATAACACTTTTTGAAGGGTTATAGGTTAGTCAAAAAATTGGGTGTCAAAAGAATTGAAAGGGTCTTTGTAACAATAAATATGTAAGCCTGATAATCGTTGGTGAGATGGAGATTGATGTAGACCTCATTTGTTTCCATTAAGATTAAGAGGTCTTAATTTGAATAGATATCTGAATATTAAGATTTGCCTTAAGATATGAGTGTTTTGATCTGTGTACACATCTAAATATTAGGATGTGATCTCTAAATCTAAATATTAAATAATTAGTGTTGTTTGTTTTAAATATCTCGATGAAAAAAGGAAATTGAACATTATATTAATAAAAGATTATAAAATTTTAATTTCAACAAAATATATCTTTTTATAAAAAAAAGTTTTAAAAGTTCTAATAATCGTATGATTTGGAACTCTATTTTTTCATTCAAAAATCTTGATAAACAAGAATACACCAAAAATATTATTGCAACTAGTGTTATTGACAAACATCAATACAAAAAAATTATTAAATTAAAAAAAAACTTGAAAGTATTTATAAAAACATAACAATTGTAAAAAAAATTGGTGTTTGATTAAGAAAAGTGAAAAAGAGAGTTTTCAGTTATTAGGTAAAAAGACACATTCAAAGCACAGAAGCTGTGATTTATTATTTGATAGCTTATCAAATGAGTGTGAATGTTGTTAAGAGTCTCCAACACACCTGATTCGTTTAGACCTCAACAGACCCATTAACATGTTTCAAAAAAAAATGAAACAAATGAACTTAATAGGCTGAACCATAGTCAGTCAAATTCAAAGCTAAAAATCAAACATACTAAATGGGCTAAATCCGAAGGATTAAGATTCAGAGCTCCATTAAGTTCAAATAAATGAGGTCTTAGCTTGCAATATCATATACTACAAATGTGTGCTTGTAATATGAATAAATAATGTGGTTAAGTAAGTATATATCAGATAAACAGGGAAATATAAGTATGATGCAATTTATTGTATTGACAATAACAGATGATTTAAGTCAATGAAGATGACTTCTTAGGTTATGATGTCATTGATTTGACAATAAATTCGTATGAATGTATTTCTTTGATAACCATGTGATTTCTATAACTTGAATAAAAGTGGCTTCAACAATCCTCGGGCATAATTTAATTTTGGGGTCAATATAATTCTCGGGCTCAATGCAATATTGGTCGTAATGCAGTCTGAGGCGCATGCAATTCTTGGCACACTGCAATCTTGGGCACATACCATTCTCTAGCACAAGAAATTCTTGTGAACAATACGTTCTCGGGAACAATGAATTTTCAAAAGCAATGTAATCTGTGACACATGAAATTCTTGAGCACAATGCAATTCTCTAACATATTGAAATCTGGACACATGCAATCTCGGACACAATGCAATTCTCGGGCACAAAACAATTCTCGGGCACATTGCAATCTCTAGCACACTGCAATCTTGGGCACATATAATTCTCAGGCACAACACAATAATGAGGCATATGATTTTATAGAGCAACATGCAATCCTTATGCACAATGCAATTCTAGGGCACGGTGCAATCTCATGCACATGCAATGCTCGGGCACAATGATATCTCAGAAACAATGTAATTATGATGTTCATACCATTTTCGGCACAATATATGTAACGACCTGTTTAGTCGTTTTGAGCAGCAGATTTTATTTCTGGAAAAACTGGCAGAGACGATGGACCCCACGATGGACCGTTATGGGCATGACGGACCGTCGAGGGAGTCTCGTTTCAAAACACTTAGAAATTTTGAAATTTGGGTACTGAAATCGACTCTCTGAACTCTGTGACGGAGCAGCAGGACGGACCGTCGCAGGCACGACGGGCCGTCACAGGCTGCGTAATCCCAGGCTGGGTCGGATTTCTTCAAATGTTTTAAGGGACGTTTTTGACTATTCCTGCTTTAATTATAAAGTTAGTGGGTTAATGTTAATAAGTCTAATTACTTGGGGGTTAAAAGAGGTAACCTTGAGTTAATTAGTGGGTTATTATTTCCATCTTTTATACTTAATTATATGCTAATTAGGGTAAAATAAAGAGGGTTTGAATAAAGAAAATAGAAAGAACAAGAAGAGAGAGAGAGAGGATCGATCGAGACAAGAGGGAAACGAAGAGAAAAAAAGCCTTGAGAAAATTGCTTGCTTGATCACGAATCTTCGGTGGATGTAGGTTATGGTTTTTATACTATTCGTAGTAAACTCTTAATAGCGAATGATATGTATTGGTAGTATTGTAAACCCTTCTATATGCTTAATTGTATGCTTGCATGAATGTGATTATGTAATTGTGGTAAAATAAGCATGATGAAACTGTTGAATCCTAAATCTTGAAGAAACCCTAATCTACATTGTTAATGATGATGCCTTGGTATAAAAGAAGGCTTGATGAACGAAAGTAGTGAGATTAGAGGATCGGGTGCCACGTTCGGGTACCGGGATAGTATATGAGGATCGGAGTGTCACATTCCGACACCAGGATAGTATATGGATCGGGTGCCACGTTCCGATACCAGGATAGTATATGAGGATTTGAGTGTCACGTTCCGACACCAGGATA